CCCCAAAACCCCAAAACCCCAAAACCCCAAAACCCCAAAACCCCAAAACCCCATTCTAATATAACGAAATTGGAAGTATCTTTTTATCAGAAAAGACCCCATTTCACGGTCGATTTTATAAGAGAATTAAGGTAATAGATTAGAAGGGGTTTCTGTGGTCCTCAAGCAATTCTGAATAGATCGACTTGATCTGGGGGGAAAGATTATTGGATGATTCTTCCAGCAACTTTTTCATTTGTGTATTAAAATTATCTTGATCGACATCATCCTGTTCATAGCATGAGTTCTTACCATTGATCAGGTAGAAATGAGTATATAGGAAACTATTAATAGGATCCTTCAGAAATGCCTTCATCTTACTCTTTGTGTACTTTGCAAGAAGATTCTTGACTGGGTTAAAGTCTATTCCTTGGGTCATTAGCTCCTTCTTGTTAGCTCTATCAGATAGTGCTACTCTAGTCAAGCCTGCCACAGTGTCTCCAAACTGTTCGACGGTTAAAACAGGTAGAATACTTCAGAATTCTTTTTGAGCATATTCTGACATGATATGATTAAGTTCATTTGGAAGCATTTTCTTGACTCTCTTTTTGTAATCATAGTTTTGAGCGAAATTTTCAAACTGATCCTTATAATACTTCCTCATGAGTCTAAGACCCTTCCTTTGAAGTAAATAGTTAAATTCAGTGAGCTTTCTCTTCTCAACCTTAGATACCTTAGTTTCTTCAATCTTCGGAGGTTCAATATGTTCCACAAGATTCGAATTTCCGCTATTGGTCTTTTCCAATACAGTGTGTAACTCCAAATCTTCTATTATGCGCTTTTCCGGGAAAATTTCTATATCAGAATCCTCACAATCACGATCTACTCGAATAGCTTCACCAACATCAGAATTCAGGATTCAAAAATCAGGAAGAGGGTTCTTCTGCAACTGTTCTTGCAAAGTATCGGCTGGGTTAAAAGATTCGTCTTCAAAGGGGTCCTCAAGGATACTGAAGTTGCTGAATTTGATGTCTCTGAATTTATACTCGACTACTTTGTCCACACTTTTGACATCGATATCTCCAAGGTAACTTTGGTCGTCTTTGTTACTCCTCAAAAACCTCATTCTCGGGTCAAGATATTTGAGAATACCATTTTCAGTCAGGAACTTAATAGCCTGTTCATCATTGTTTTCATTCTCTTCTGAGGTGGTGTAGGTCTCATTTGTAGGCAAGTCTTCTAGCAGTTCTGACCTCGATTCATGGACTCAAGTATCATCTCTAGATTTATTCTTGAAAATATTCTGAGGAAGAACCGGCCTAATTTCATTTTGGTAATCATTATATGAAATTTTATCATCTAACTCGAACATGCGGAGCCTAATCTCGGCTTCATCGGTCTTGCGATTGTCCCGATTCTGAATCATTTTAAGTAATTATAATTATTCTACATTGCTCTTATTTATAGGGGTTTTGGGGTTTTGGGGTTTTGGGGTTTTGGGG